AGTATTAAGCTCATTTTTTAATCCTGCACATGCGAAAAAGAGACAAGTTAATCCCACCAATCATGTACTGTTACGTCACGTGTCCGTCATGAACTTCATCGGTGCCATCGCTTGAGTTGCCATTCTTTTATTTTCGGCATCATCGATCGTCTTAGAATTTCCATACGTAGTATTTATTATGAAAATGAAATTGTATATATTTACACAAATTATCAAATATTCTGATAAAGGAAATAACTTATGTTAATGAATAAAAAAAAAAAACAATATAATCCTACGAGGAATCTTTGAAGTTCAGAGGCTGCGAGCAGGGAACTCCTATTTCCAGGTTAGTGAAACAAAAAATTTATGGTCAAGGTCACACAAGTTGACGTTTTAAATCAAATATGAGCCAGTGTTTTAAAGAATAATTATGTACTGAATTTTTCTCAACTACTTTAAAACAAAATTAACAAGTATACTTTTCTATGGACCTCCTGAACAGCATCCTGAAGAAAACATGTTTCCCTCCTCCAACACGATTCAACGCAGCAAAGAGCTGTCCGAGGAAACTGCGCAATGGATATTTTTGTACTTGAGTGTCATTGAAATAAAGATTGGTTTTACAGTTGTTAGAGCAGTTTCGTTACCCATTTTACTACTATAAATATAAGATCGTCATCATGAAAAAATAGAATATTTCATAAATAATCATGTTTCCCTTATAAGTAAGCCTACTTGAGCTTTGTAATTATCATATGAAGACCAAACTGCATCTTGAGTGACTGACTATAACTTTCTATAACAACCACCTTTTCTCCAATCTATGATAAATGGATATCAGTTGTCAGAAAAATCTTTTAACAATGCAGTGTCTGAATGCAAATTGCAAGGTTTATTTATCCAAATAAATTTTATATCGGACTGCAAATCTTAAGGTAATATCTTTAATACTGTCTTCTATATCATATGCGTAGGGATAGGAAGGGTGAATGTTGAATAGATATCTTTTGGATGATTTTGTTGCTTATTTACAGGTATGAGTGCATGACTTGCTCCAAACGCAACCCTTCACAACATGCAACAGTTATGTGTGAAGAGAACATTGCACAGAAATGTTTCAAAATATCACAGATTGTTCAGCAATAAAAAAAACATACCTCACTCCCACCCTTTAGATTTGCAACACCTATTCCCACACGCCCAGAAATACGAGACCAGGATCTTCACATCAACAACAGTGGGTAGAACCATCACTATATCACAGACCAAGAACATCACAAGAATTGATAGAAATTTAAAGAGACAGTCCATTAACTTAAGATTCCAAACAAATCATATTTGAAACAGATAATCTTGAAGAAATGTGTACAGAAAATAGAGGTGCGAACTTTCTTACTTTGATATGATGCTAGTCTTAGTTTTCAGTTTTGGGAACATTGGGAGGCATAAAGAATTGATTAATAATACGAATAATTTTTTAATGCCTTGTCTTCAATCATGTAGGTACGTCCGGGATGAAGGGAAGGAAAAGGTGGTCTTCAGAAGCATCTGAGAAGTTTGTATTATTTACAGAACACTTTAAACAGTTAGAGGCAAAGCAGTGCAGAGATTAAAAAAAAAAAAAAAAAAAAAAAGGCATAAGATAATTAGCATTATGAAAACATTAGTAAGAGTCTCAGTTTCATGAAATACACATTAGATATTTTGAAACCTCTGAAATGTCTTAAATAGTGTCTTAAATATGATTACCAAAAACATGGCATTACACAAAGAAAGAAAGAAAAATAAAACAAAATCTCCCAAAGGAGCGAATTTCACGCGCGACATTTCTCTTCTCTCCGACATGTTTACATGATAACGGTGGTGATAGAATAGTGAGTACGACAGTTTTTACTGAACATTAATGTCGCGTCGTCTGGCAGCGGAGAGTGTCGTCTTCGGTACGGACACGGCGGATTAGGATTAAACTAAATACGGTATTAAGAGTTAAGGACGCTACAGAGGACGCCCTTAAATACCGTACTGAAGAAGTTCCTGATTGTTCTCGAAAATGCAAACAGCGGTAAATTTATTACAACCCCCCTCCCCCCCCAAAGAAAAAAAGATCACCAAAACAGGTGATGAAAACAGGAAATCATCTGTCTCCACTTCCACAGGACGTCATCTGTGACTACAGTTTATTCGTTACGTAGATGCACTAAGGAACAGCCAATCCGTCAGTATGTGAGTGCAGTGCATTACGAAAGCAGGTAGAGTTAAACATCACCATCATAAAGCAACATCTAGAATGAACCATTCGAAAAAGGATCCGTCTGATAAATTCGTATCAACGAAGCGTAGTTCAAGCGATGGCCAGTAGGCTTACCATTAAGAAATGCGACACCGAAGAATTGCCAGATACAAAATCAGCATTGGGATTTCCTCTAGACCCCAAGCCCCATCCTTACCCATCCCAACGACATTCTGAATCCTCTCCATCCACGCCAGCCGCCGCCCTTCCTAACTTACCTAACATTATTTAACCTAAGCTAACCTAACCCAGCATAACCTAACCCAGTCTAACCTAACCTAATCTAACCCAACCTAACCTAACTAACCCAACCTAACCTAGTTCAACCCATCCTAACCTAACCTCTCTGTTGCAATCCTACAGTTTATGCACATTTGATACGTAGGCTTATTAGAATAGTGTTGTTGTTTTTTGCGTCCATGCAGTCAGGGTTTAAACGTCTAAGCACGAGTATGAGCGTGTACGTGTCCATATGTGTGTATGCATGTGGTAATACACATGCACTGTCTAAATGTTTATATGAACACATTTGCGGGCATCTGCATGCAGGTACGTATGTGCACATGCTCATGTATGTATAGCTGCATATATGTGTATAATTATGAGTATGTTTACAAGATGCAAGTGTATGTGTGTTCGCACATATATACATGTTAATAAGTGCAGTTGTATGTAATGTATGTGGATACTAATGTGTGCACATATACGTAAGTGCGCATGCACGTATATGCATGTCATTGTATAGCTGCATGTATGTGTTATGTGTACGTGTACAATATATATGCACGTACTTATATGTAGTTGAATTTAAAGCAAATATGTGTATGCATACCTGCATGTGAGCATGTGTAAAAGTGGAAGGACAGGCGTACCTGCTTGGATATATGCACATGCATGAGCACGAAACTGAACATATGGATAGACCTAGGGCATAGGCTGATGAACGAGTGTGTCTGAGTGAACATAAGCATAAATATAATCAACGTATGTGCATGGGATGCGGGTGGATAAAATATAATAACATATATATGCGTGTCTGAGACTCAAGCCCTCACTCACGGGAGTTTAACCTGTAGTGAGCAGGTCATGAATTGTTGCTCCTGAGTCCTTAGCTTATCTCTAATTCCTAGTGACAGGTCTGGTCGATTTGCCCAAGTCATGACTTCCTAGGTCGTCCAACGGGCTTCCTCCAGCCAGGTTAATCTCCAGAAGAGACAACCTGGTGGGTATGGTCGTCCACGGGGAAGCCGGTTAGGTGCTGTATAGCCTGGTTGGCGGTCCCGGAATTTGCGAGTAACATGTCCTGTAGTTGGCTTGGTTACACGGTCCTGCCAACTGTACCACGTGATCTGGCACGGGATACCATACTGCTTTTACTTCCGAAAATGAAAACATGCTGTATTAAGCCCTTGAAGACACGTAGCTCGGTCCAATTGCACAGACGCCAACAGATACTCTTGGCAAGAGTGTTCGTGGCACCTACTGGCAGGTCATTCCGTCTACTGATTGTCTGGTCTGACAGCCCAGTAAAGAACAACTCTACCATAGTATGTAAAGCTTTGTGTGACTTCAATAACCTCGCCAAACATGTACCGATGAACAGGTTCTCCAAGCAAGTACCCCAAATCCTGGATTTTTGTCTTGGTCCAAGAGACATATTGACTCAAGGGCTTCGTTTTATTGCTAAATGCATCGAGAGCCACCCCTGGGGTTTCCAGAGAATAGCAACATCGACAGCAAAGTCAAGGTCGTTAAACAATATTGACCGGTGTTGCTCCACAGTGGCTCTCGATAGTATCTACAGTCCATGTAAGTGATGGAAATGTTGGTGCGAGAAGACAGCCTTGCCTCACTCCAGAGATAAAAGGAAAGATAGACAGGCCCCACAACTTACAGCATTTTTCAATACCAGGCTAGTAATCCAGTAATCCATATCGGAATCCATATTTCCCTGAGTGATTCGTGAAGCAACGACTCGAACGCCTTCCTGTGGCCGATGGAGTCCACGACCGAACTCACGATAGTCTTTCGTGGGATTGATAGTTTATGATCCCTTTTGGAAATGTACTACTTATTAATAACCAGATATAGCATTACCTAAAGCGCCATGGTCAGCCAAGGGGAACGGAATCGTAATCTAAAAAACAGAAGTAGGGCGGTCGGCTTCATCTTCAGTGTTGAATGACTCGCGGTAAAAGGCGAGAACTACCCAGGTTCCATCAACTCAAGCCCTTACCGTAATGTAGAAAGGTAT